GGGGGGCCGTGGGGACCCCAAGAACTGGAGGTATATGGTGTTGGCGGGGTCCTGGTTTGGCGTCCGGTGGGAGCGGCCTCCAGCCGGCCTCGTCTGTCCTTGGTCCCCGTGAGTGGCCGGCTCAGAGCCACCGTTTGGCCCCTGTGTTTCATACTCCAAAAATACATAGTCTATGACGCGCACTCTCATGCGCCGCTACAGGGAACAGGAAGTGGGGATTCTGACTAAGGGGGTACTGGCTGGGCTGGAAAACCTCCGAGTTGGACCGGGGATGTCCCCAAGTCGAGGGGCGGATGGTGATTGGCAGTGTATGGACCCCTCAGACTCGGGCATTTTGCGCCCCATGTGGCTCTGGAACTGGGGCGCCTACGTGGGGGGGGGGGTAGATGTGGAAGGGGGTCACTGGGAGGGCTGGTATCCAAACTTGGCTGTAATTTACATAAAAGTCCTGGGGTGGTTGGAAGCGGGAACCTCTCAGTCTGGGGAGGATGGCGGGAGGGCTTTAGTGGAAGGAGGGAGCGGGCATTCAGTTTTGTCCTGGCAAGAAAACCCCAGTGTTTTCAAAACTAGTTTCTGACAGTCACCATCAGTTTGGGGACATTTACATACTGGTTCCTCCCCAGTCCAGAGCAGAGTATCCACAGGACACTGGGTTAAAAGTGAAGACCTGGAAGATGCTCTGGGGGGTTGTACCTGATTGGCAGGTTTCCTAATTGAAGCCAAAATAAACAAAACCCCCAAACCCAGATAAGAAACAGAAAACACTGAAGGACTAAAGACAGCTGACCTCTACCCAGACCCTGGGCGAGGTAACTAAAAAAAAAGAGAGAGAGAGAAGAGAGAGAGAGAGAGAAAGAAAGGAAGAAAGAAAGAAAGAAAAGAAAGAAAGAGAAAAAGGAAGGAAGAAGAAAGAAAAGGAAAAAGAAAGAAAAGAAACCAAAAGTATTTCAGGGCCCTCTGTAGGTGGCGGCTGCTGATGGGTGGCCCAGCTGCCACCTCCCGTGAGGACGTGTGCAGTTGATTACACCTTTTAAAATCAGTTCAGTCCCAAAGAAAGTACTGAGAATGTGGTTTGACGGGAATTTGACGCTTGGGTTTTTTGTTTTGTTTTGAGTATATCTGGCTTTTTGTTTGTTTTGAGAGATTGTGAGGGGCATACGCTCTGGGACTAGTTAACCCACTGGGCATGAAATTAGAAGACAGGACTTTCCAGGTCCATGAGAGCTGGTGGGGACAGAGGTGGGGGACGGGAGGCTGTGCTGGGGTCCCCATCGCCTCTGCTTCAGTTCTGGGCCAAGCTTAACCGGTCTCTCCAAGTTCCAGCTGTAGGGACCCAGACTGGGGTGTGTGCCAAATATCTCTTCTCTGATTTTAGGGCATCTCCGCTGGGAGGGGGCAGCTTCACAGGACTGGATAGAAGCCCCTCTCATCAAACCCTGCACCCCAGACCCACAAACCCACCTCTGGAGTGAACTTCTATGCATCCTTCATGTGGGCAGTATGGCTGGAGGGCTTTAGTGGAAGGAGGGAGCGGGCATTCAGTTTTGTCCTGGCAAGAAAACCCCAGTGTTTTCAAAACTAGTTTCTGACAGTCACCATCAGTTTGGGGACATTTACATACTGGTTCCTCCCCAGTCCAGAGCAGAGTATCCACAGGACACTGGGTTAAAAGTGAAGACCTGGAAGATGCTCTGGGGGGTTGTACCTGATTGGCAGGTTTCCTAATTGAAGCCAAAATAAACAAAACCCCCAAACCCAGATAAGAAACAGAAAACACTGAAGGACTAAAGACAGCTGACCTCTACCCAGACCCTGGGCGAGGTAACTAAAAAAAAAGAGAGAGAGAGAAGAGAGAGAGAGAGAGAAAGAAAGGAAGAAAGAAAGAAAGAAAAGAAAGAAAGAGAAAAAGGAAGGAAGAAGAAAGAAAAGGAAAAAGAAAGAAAAGAAACCAAAAGTATTTCAGGGCCCTCTGTAGGTGGCGGCTGCTGATGGGTGGCCCAGCTGCCACCTCCCGTGAGGACGTGTGCAGTTGATTACACCTTTTAAAATCAGTTCAGTCCCAAAGAAAGTACTGAGAATGTGGTTTGACGGGAATTTGACGCTTGGGTTTTTTGTTTTGTTTTGAGTATATCTGGCTTTTTGTTTGTTTTGAGAGATTGTGAGGGGCATACGCTCTGGGACTAGTTAACCCACTGGGCATGAAATTAGAAGACAGGACTTTCCAGGTCCATGAGAGCTGGTGGGGACAGAGGTGGGGGACGGGAGGCTGTGCTGGGGTCCCCATCGCCTCTGCTTCAGTTCTGGGCCAAGCTTAACCGGTCTCTCCAAGTTCCAGCTGTAGGGACCCAGACTGGGGTGTGTGCCAAATATCTCTTCTCTGATTTTAGGGCATCTCCGCTGGGAGGGGGCAGCTTCACAGGACTGGATAGAAGCCCCTCTCATCAAACCCTGCACCCCAGACCCACAAACCCACCTCTGGAGTGAACTTCTATGCATCCTTCAAAACTTTCCCAGGGATTCCTCTCCACCTCCCCACCAATCCCACCCTCTGCGCCACCCAAGCCGCGAGGTGATGGGGGAGGAGTTTTGTCCCCAGTTGGCTTCGTGGAGCATCACTCCCGCCCCCAGGATTTGGAGAATGAGACTGGGATGGGAGGAGGGTTAGATGATACCAGGGCTGGGGAGGGCACAGGGCCGCCTGGCGGCTCACCTGGGGCCACACCCACAGCGCGGAGGAGCTGTGGGCGTGGTCAGTATGGGTGTCCTGGGTCTTTGGGTCTCTTCAGCTGCACCTTCAACCTCTTCATACCGATCTGAAAGCCGTTCATGGCCTGGATGGCTGCTTGCGCGCTGGCTGGGTGGTCAAAGCTCACGAATCCTGAGGAGACAAAGTGACCAGAGCTGGTGAAGGACAGTGGTCTCGGCTTCGTGTAGATATCTATCTCCAGACTTGTATGTCTCTAAGGATGGGGGACTCATCCCCATCGCACCCAATCCGCTCAACTTTCCATGGGATACGAGGGTCGCAGCCCCGCTTTCTTCCTACACCTCTGATGTGGTACTGAGGATTATTCCAGAACCTTAAACAAACCAGGCAGGCGCTCTGCCCTGACCACGCCCCCAGCCCCTCACGGGGGGGATTCTGGGCGGGGCTGCACCCTGACCACGCCCCCAGCCCCATACTGAGGATTCTAGGCGGGGCTCCACCCTGACCACGCCCCCAAACCCTCACTGGGGGATTCTAGGCGGGGCTCCACCCTGACCACGCCCCAGCCCCATCACTGAGGATTCTAGGCGGGGCTCCACCCTGACCACGGCCCCAGCCCCTCACTGGGGATTCTAGGCAGGTCCACTCACCGAAACACTTGCTCTGGTTGGTAGCCCGATCCATAAACACCTTGGAGGAGATGATATTGCCGAAGGGAAGGAACATCTGGGTCAGCTCCGTGTCTCCAAACTCCTGGGGGAGGTGGTAGATAAACAGGTTACAGCCTTCGGGACCTGTGGGTGGGGGAGAGAAAGACATAAAGCCCCCCCAAGGAGAGGAGGTGGACCCCCCCTGGGTTGGGGTCCAGTCCTTGTCTCTGGCTGTGGATACAGTGGGAGGCTTCTCGAGACCCCCAGAGAGAAAGGTGGGGAGCAGAGGTGGCCCTGGCGAGCTATATGCTGGTCATCCAGCCAGTGCTAATCACAGACCATACCCAGATACCTTCTTCTTCCCCACCCTGAACCCCACAAGCCAGGGTCTTTGCCTCCCAGATTGACTTCCAAAGCTCCATGCCTCCACTGCAGTCTCCACCTCCAGGTCACGTGCTGGAGTCAGGTGAATGGGGTTATTGGTGGCAGTCGGGGGTGGGGGTGGGGAATGGCTAGATGAGGCTCAGCAGCAACTCTGCACCTCGTGGTGGTCTAAGATACTCCTGACATTTCAAAAAAGCCTGGAGGCCAGGTCGATGGTCCACACCGGTCAGTTATTCCAACACTTGGGAGGCTGAGGCAGGAGGGTTGCTGCATTTATGAGCCTAGTGTGAGACCTAGTCTCAAACACATCCACATGCACAAGGACAGACACACAGACACACCCCCACACACATGCACAGGGACAGACACACAGACACACAAACACACACACACATGCACAGGGACAGACACACACACACACACACACACACGCACAGGGACAGACACACACACACACATGCACAGGGACAGACACACAGACACATGCACAGGGACAGACACACAGACACACACACACAGACACACACACACTCATGCACACACAGAGACAGAAATAGAGACAGAGAGAATTCATTCAGGCGATGGAGTCAAGGCTGTAGCTGGGAGGTACAGAGGCTGTCCATCTGTCTTTCTATCTAGTTAATTTCAGGGAGTGTGTGTGTGTGTGTGTGTGTGTGTGTGTGTGTGTGTGTGTGTGTGTGTGTGCGCGCGCGCGCGCGCCTGTGTGAAAGTCAGAGGACAGCTGGCACTAACTAGGCCTCCACACGTGGGCTCTGGGAATCAGACTCAGGTTAATAGGCTTGGTGGCCAAGTGCCTTTTGTGCTGAGCCATCCTCCCCGCCTGGAGTTGAAGGAGGCTCTCCCCTCGGTGTCCTGGCTGTCAACAGTCATATAAAAATGTCCTGGTGGTGGCTTTAGCCACACAAAGTCTGGGAGACACGATGTGACCCATGTGGGACAGTCCGGGGACACTGGTCGCCCCTCAAAGCCCAGGTCTAGACTCTGAGCCCAGGTCCTGCATGTTGGGGTGTGAGCCCCATCACAGGTGAGGACGGAACCTTCCTCACAGCCACACTTGCCACAGGGGTGGCCTGAAGCTTCCACCTCCCCGCAGGCCCCTTCTGGTCCACAGGCAGTGAGTACAAGGGGAGACACCAGGATCTTCTTAATGCCTCCTGGCTCACACAGGGGGGGCCAGGACGCTGCAGCTGTAAATGTGGAAACTGAGGTACTGGTTACAGTGCCCGGCCACAAGAGGAGGCCAGTGGCCCTGAGTCACCGGACTTAGACTCCTGCTTCCTCCCGAATGCCCTCCAAAGGCCTGGCTTCACTGGGAAGGTCTCAGTTTACCCAAGATGCCCTCCTCACACAAGCGCGCACCAAAAGGGGTTTCCTCGCTTGTCCATAGGGGGTGGGAACTGCAAGGGCCGCCGTTCCATGGAGGGGCGAGTTCAGCAGTGCAGGTGAGGGCGGGGCTGGCAGGGGTCGCCTCACCTTCACGCTGCTGCTGCAGGAGGTGAGGAGGCTGTGGGACGCAGTGCGCCACAGGCGCGATGGCCGCGGTAGGGTACATGGCTGCAGAGAGCAGAGGCAGAGGGCAGGCCTTACTGGTGGGTCCGGGGCAGAGGGTGGGGCGGGGCTGAGAGGTGGGGATTGGGGCTAGGATTCAGAGTGTGGCCAGGGCTGAGGGCAGAGCCTGGGGCCAAGGGGCGGAGCTGAGTTGTGGGTATAGTGTAGGGTGGGGCAAGGCTGAGGGGCGGCGCTTGGACTTGAAGGATGGGGGAGCAGATGGGGTTAGGGTGAGGGGGGCGGGGCCGGGATGCGGGAAAGGCTGGTTGGAGCCAGAACCTGGGGGCAGGGCACAGAGCGGGTAGAGGGTGGTAGGATGGGATGACTGGGACAAGCAGGGCAGAGCCAGAGGCTGCATGAGGGGCGGGACTATGACAGGAGCAGGGCCTGAGGTCCAGGGCCGGGCGAGAGGCATGGCCAAATAAAGGTAGAACTAGAATAGGCGGGGCCATAGCAGCAAAAACCTGAGGAATGAGGCCATAGCAGGAGGGACAGCAGAGAGGTGGGCCCTACCCCTTGCTCCATGTCCCTGCCCTGCACTGTGCCTCTGCCCTTCACCCTGGCTCCTCATCAGCCCTGCACCCTTCCTCCATGTGCCATGAGCCCGCCCCTCAGGCCCCAGCTCCACCCCTCAAGTCCTGGACATCCCCACTACCACTGTGGCTGGGCCTCCTCCCCAGGCCCTGGTTTTGCCCAATTCTGACCGTGTCCCTTGCCCTGCCCCACCCTCAACTCAAGGGATCAGGCCCAGTGGTGGGTAAGACCGTGACACAACGAAGCAAGCCCACCTCCCAAAGAGCTAAGGGCCAGAGTGCAGGGCTGGGTTGTGAGTGGAGTTAGGCCTTAGTGAAGGGAAGAGCTATGAAGCACAGGGTGATGAGGGTGTAACAGTGGGGGTCCCCAAGGGAGTGGGGACTAGAGCTGAAGACAGACGGAGTGGGGTCATGATGGAGAGCCGGTCCATGACCCAGTGTAGGGGGCAGGGATGAACCATGTCTAAAGAACTTAGTGGGCGGGGCTCTGCCCTTGGGTGGGGCTAAGGGCTCATGGGCAAGGAATTGGGTGGGCATGGTAGATGGGGCAGGGCTACATACACAAGACAGCAGGTGCAGCCCTGGCTTCGGAGGAGGTGGTCAGGCCCCGAGGACTTGGGGATGACATGTAGGGTACACCAGACTTAAAGGACTGTGCACTTTTCTTAGGGGGCCTGTGGAGAGTGGGACCTCAAACAGGGGTAGAGGGACTGAGCGAGGGGCAAGGGCCTTGGGTGACGAGATCATGAAGTGAGTGGTCATGTGGGCACAGGCTTGACCGGGACTATTGAGCCGAAGGGTCAGGGTGGCGCTGCCTCTACCTGTGTACTGCTGGACTCCAGAGAAGGCAGGATGGAGGCTCTCTGCCACAGTGGGGCTCTGAGCTGTGGGGCAGAGGATGAGCTGAGCCCTGACATCCACAGCCACCCCAGTCTCCCTTCTGTATTAACCCTTACTGGCAAGCCAGGGAAACATGCATCAACTCGCCCAGGGGCCATCACGCCTCAGCCCCTGCCCCACCCCCTCAGCACCCAGGAAAACCCCTCACCTGAGAGTCATCTCCCACACCCCATCTCCTGCCCAACCACCCTCCAGTCTGTGGGGATCCCCGAGTGTCCTATAGTCGGCCAGTTCCTGGTTCGGACCATTAATTAGCATGCAGGGTTGGCATATCAGGCCCACCTGGCCCCATTTCTACAATATCCAGGATCTTAGCTGACTACCAAATAAAGAATTAAGTCAGGCACAGTGGCTCCCAGCTCCACTTAAGAGGTGGAGGCCAGAGCTAAGGCGTGACTTTGAGACTAGCCTGGGTTACAGAGGTGTCTAAGAGCAGCCTGGACTACATAACATGACCCCTACCTCAAACAGCAAACAAGGAGAGACTTGTACCTAACACTGGCCAAATGTCCCCTGCTCCACACTCAGCCTTTGGCCTCACCCGTCCTGTTTTCCAGTTCTGGAAACAGGCTAGATTACTGAACTGGAATTTGAACCCAGAACCAGCGCAGTGCTTGGTCCTCATGTGTCCTCCTTCACCGGCCTCTTCCTGTGCCCCTGCCCTGCCCTGCCATGCCCATGATGTCATGCTGTGGGAATCTACTGTGTCCCCCGTTGCTGTGCCCACTCCAGGCATGTCTTAGGCTCTAGGGCATCTGTCTCCCAAGTTACCTGGGTAGGGGACGAGGCCATTGGCATATGCAGTCTCCAGGGCAGGGTGGCTCCCAGGGAAGGGCAGGACGCCTGGGAAGGCGTTGGGAATGGGTGCCACCAGGCCAGGAACAGCAGCAGTGCCTAGCAGTGGGGGCGAGTGTAGCCCTGAGGAGGGGGACAGGGTCAGACATGGGGTGAGGGGGACCCAGACATGGGGCTGCTGCCCGCTTATCCCAAGGACTCCCAGAAGCTGCTCTCACCAGAGGCTGGGGTGATGGGTGTGGCAGGCAGACCATTAAGGCTGACGGCGCCAATCTGCTGGATGTGGCATGGAGGGAACGCTACACCAGGGCTTAGGTAGCTGCCGGAGGTGGACAACACTGTTGTCTGTTGCTGCATGAGCTGGAGACAGAGACTGTATGAGTGGGACCGAGCCATCCATGGCTCAGGGGCAGGGGTGGGAGACAATCCTGCTGGATTTACAGCTCAAGCTGGGATCAGGCATCAGTTGCAAACTCAGCCTCAGCTGCAGGTCAGTGTTTGATTGTGGATCAGGGTTCAGTAGGTACTAGCACTAGACTCAGGGTTCAGTTAGAAATGGAGGCTCCTACTTGGATTCAAGTTCATTCTGGGATCAGGGATCAGTCAGACATTAGGCTCAGCTTAGGATCGGGGCTAAGTTGGAAACTGAGGCTCAGGTACAGATCAGGATTCAGTCTGAGATCAGGGCTCAGACTGGGATATGAGATCTGGGTCAGCATAGGACCTAGGCTCATCCTCAACTCAGAACTGGGTTTAGCGAAGGACTCAGATATTTAGATCCAGGTTGGGGTTGGGTCTGCCCAAGAACAAGGCACAGTCAGAGACCAGGGCTCAGCTTGGGATCAGGGATCAGTCAATGCTGAGTCAGGAGTTCAGGTGATGTCAGCCTTGATGATTCAGACCAAATGCAGATTTAGGGATGCTGGAATCCAGGCTCCAGCCATTAGGGTCAGAGTGAGTGAGACATTAGCATTTTGCCCACATTTGGGGTCCATCTGGGATTAGGGGGTCAGTCAGGGTGGTGGCTGTGTTTAGGGCTGTCCATCAAGATCTGGACTTTCAACCTGGGGCTGCAGCTCAGTTTGCCCCACTGCACCTGAGGCTCAGCCCCGTCCAGGACAGGATCCTGGGTCAGAAGGAATGAGTGAGGGGAAGAGGGAAAGGTGGGTGGGGCTGAGCCCTGGACTCGGTGTCCACACGCTGGGGTCACTCACAGCCTGGGCGTAGGCACTGTAGGGGCTGAAGGGCAAGGTGAGGGATGGCGTTAGGATGCCCAGCTGGCCAACCATCTGCTGCATTCGCCGCAGTGTCCGCTCTCTGTCCGTGTCGGCAAACTTGACCACCAGGCTGGAGGAGGCTCCCTATAAGGACAGTGTGTGGTGTTGGGGTTAAAGGGCAGGGACTCTGGAGGTCCCTGCAGATGAGAGTGGAGATGCCAGCCATGACTGAGTCCACATCCAGAAAAGCAAAGACGACACAAGAAGTGCATATGTCTTGTCATCCTGGGCCTGGTGGTGTGGCAACATGGCCACAGGGTCTGCCAGGTAGCTACAGTCGCAGTGACAGGTAGAGTATGCAGGCCCAAGGCTCATGTCTGGGACAAACATGTGTGAGGGATCCTAGCTGTAGCCATGTCCTCAAAGCAGGGGGGAATCCAGGGGCCAAAGAGGGAGAGTGGAAGAATTTCGGGTAGTGCACCATACAGCCCACACCTGGCACCAGCCAAGGTTCCCATGCCAGGGGACATGATGGCCGACAGTGCACCAATTGCTCACTCTGTAGAACTAAGTCAGAAATTGGGAGCTTAGTGCAGCATCAGGGCTCAGTATGAGGAATTGTGAGTTTATTCTAGGATCAGGGCTCAGCCAGGCCCTGCCTGGTGATTGTTCTCAGATTTTGTAGCCAGGCTTGCAGACACCCCCTTGGCTAGACAACCTGCTCACTGGCTTTGGTCATGAGGGAGTCAGCCCAGGGGTGACCTGAACCTGCCCAGTCATGAGGCAGCTGCTGCTGCAAGGCCAGGGACTCAGTTTACCTATAGTGACACAGTTTTCTGGGGACCCTCCTACAACCATACCCGAGTAGTTCTACCCTTGGGACCTTGAACCCCTGCTCCCCACTCCCCCAATGGGTTGCCAGGACCCCCATTATCTCCAAACAGTCTCTCCAGACCAGTCTTCATCCTCCTGCCGGGAACCTGAGTAGGGCTGCCCAGCCAGGCTCTCAGACTCTCTTCCCTTGCCCACTCATGACGCTGACCTAAAGGACCTATGCGAATGGCCTTACAGGTACCCTCACTTGGTGCCCACAGTGGGTCCCCACTGCCCTAGAACAGAGCCGTGGTCTCTACACATTGTCCAGCAACTGGTCCTGCTCCTTAGCCTGTGCCAGGGCCACAAGCTAAGCCCACAATGCACCAGGACAGTGTCTGAAGCAGTCTAGGAAGGGATAAAGCCGACACCACCCACTGCTTCCAGCCATCCTAATTCTTTCCCCTGTCCCACTGTAGCAAGAGTGGGTCTCACTCACCGGCATGGTCTGGCTGCCATGCAAGGCATGGATGGCCGCCTGGGCCTCTGTGTGGGAAGAAAACTTCACGAAGGCACAGCCTGGGAGGGGAGGGAGGAGGAGGTGAGGGACTGACTGAAGGATATAGAAGGCAGGGGCTAAAGGGGAGACAGAGCCCTGATGGCCACTCATGAAAGACAGCAGATATGAATTCACACAGATGGGAAGGGTCCAGACTGCCTGAACAGACAAGACAACCACCATCTTCCAGGGACAGAGACGTAGATGTCAGCAATGAATTCAGCCAAATAGAAAAAAACGACACTCATCCACCTCCACCTATCCACCCACTAATCTTTTGGTCTGTCTGTCATCAATCCACCCATCCACCCATCCATCCGTCCATCCATTCATCCGTCCGTCCATCCATCCATCCATCCATCCACCCATCCATCCGTTCATCCATCCATCCACCCATCCATCCACCCATCCACCCACCCATCCATCCATCCATCCATCCATCCACCCATCCAC